CGGCAGCGGCTCGTCATCTGCGCGGCGTTCTGGTCGAAGCCGCACGTCATCGCGCTCGACGAGCCGACCAACTACCTCGACAACGACTCGGTCGCCGCGCTCACCAAGGCGCTCAAGGACTTCAAGGGCGCCGTCGTCACCGTCTCGGAGAACGAGGCGTTCGTCAACGAGATCTCGAACGAAAAGTGGGTCGTCGAAGAGGCTGCGGTCACGCTCGTGCAGCTGCGCGACGCGAAGGCACGCTGAAGTGCGCTGTGGACGCTCTCTCTCCTGCGGGCTGGCGGCTGCCACGCCGCTCACCTGCTCCACCTGCCCAGCCCCCCCGCCCCGCCCCCGGCTCCCGTGTCTCAGAGCCAGCAGCAGCGACACACTTCTCCGGGAGAGTACACCGCTCGATATTGTGTAAAGCGGGGAGGGAAATCTCGTAACCTCCTTATCTGATCTTGGGGCCGATCGCTGGTAGCGTGGTTTTACCTCACCCCCGCATGGTCTCACACGGTGATCGGTGTGCCGGGCGGGCGGGGCAGTCGCGAGAGCAGTGTGTCGAGCTCAGGTCAGGTCAGGTAAATTTCTCCACACACACAAAGTGGTGGGGCAAGGGGGGGCGACCCTCGCATCTCCACACGGGTTGTTGCACGAGTATATGGGACAAAAGCGTCGAAAATGTCCCAAAAAAGCGTGTCTCGAGTTTGTGGCAGCTCCGGAGCCAGCGCGGGCTGCCAGGACGCACCGCTCGCGCGTTCGGCGCACTCCCTGGCACCCAGGGAGTGCGCCTAACCGACCAGACCGAATAGGCTCGATGCCGCGCTCGCTGTGGAGCTGCCACAAACTCGCCGCCGAGCGTGCCACCGACGGCGTCCCGGCGGAGGTGATGGAGTGTGAGACCTGAGGCTGCGGAGGTGACGCCTGAGGTACCGGTCCGTGCACAGCGACTCAGCCGGCGACCGCCACGGGCTCAGACGAGACTTGTCGACTCGTTCCAGCTCAGCTTCACCGTGGTCCTCGGGCGTCTGTCGACGTCAGGACCACCCATACAGCTCGCGGGTTTGAGGTCGCAAGAGCCAAGATGGTGGCGTTTGGACATCCCAACCATCACACAAGACAGCCTGTAGGTGATGGCGGGACGGCGCAGTGTTTGTGGCACTCGGCAGTAGGCACCCGCGGCACGGCCCCGCTGTCGGCTCTCGCGGGCTGCGGAACCGGCCCCAGAAGGGGACGGTCCGGGCGAGTGTGGCAGCTCCTGCGCTAGTATGGGCACCCTCTATTATAGCACTACTGATCCTGGTCATTAGAGCTGCCAGGGATAGCGTCAGGAGCTGGTAGGAGTCAAAGCCCCTCATATTTGAGACATCGTGTCCCATATACTCGTGCAACAACCCACACCCGGACACGGGCAGGAGCCCCACGGCATTCAAAGTGTCGAGCTCACACAAGCCGCAGCAGCACAAGTGACTGCTCAAGCACAAGTGACTGAGGGCCGATGGAGAATTCTTAACGATGTCTGCTGTGAGAGAGAGTTGTTTCCAATCCGCTCAATCTCTCAGTTCTCCCCTCATCTTAGTTAGCTGCAACCTGCAAGCCCACCGCCCCGCACGCCTCCGCGCCTAAAATTGTTCGCGCCACGACAGCGTTTTCTTTGTTTGCTCACTCCGCCTGAGAATTCAATTCGCTGCCACGAGGGGGGCCGGGAGGCAGTAAGCCGTTGTCGCCCGGCGCTGCTTGCAGCACCATGGCGATGGCGCTAAGAGCCCCCCCCCCCCCCCCCCTCCAAGAGGCGCCCGATACACTCACCCCAAGAATACAGCTCCATTCGCGTTACACCAATCCTCGCTACCCAACGCGGCCAAAGGATATCCACGTTGAGAACCTCGAGAACAGCTCCATTCACACAAGCCCAGGGACAAAGGAGGGCGCCAGCAACAGCCCTTGGTGTGAAATGATTATTCGAGGGAACGCCAAAAACCTCGCGCTATCCGGCAACCTAGACTCTCGACGCGGCTATCCGGCAACCTAGAGAGCTGCTCAGCGCAGTGACGCGCATGGAGAGGGAGGTGCTCTAGAGGCCCGTACGAAGAGCGGGCTCGTCTTGCCGGCTCGAGCCGAATGCACTGAGTTAGAGGGTAGACAGCGTCCTAATCTAAAATCTGAGGATTCAGGATTGAGGCATCGCTTCAGTGAGGCCAAAGTGAGTTTATGGATGTGTGAGAACGGTACGAGACACGAGGAAGCACGCGGACCGACTCGTCGGCGACTCTGCTGCACGGCGTTTCAGAATTTTCTCAGAGTGAGCGAGACGTGGAAGAGTGCCACCGTCGGGTAGGACGGGTCGGCCCGGAGTATCAGAGTAGCCGTCGTGGTCGCGGCGAGCAGCGACGGCCACTCCGGCGCCGCGTCGGCAACATGGGAGCATGTCCACCGCCACTTCGCGGTCGCAGCGCTGTTTGTCGCCCGAAACGCCGCATGTACCTCTGGCGGGCCAAAGATCGACTCGCATGTCGATTTCGACGCGACGGGCGCATGGAGGCATCACGTCTTCATGCGCCCGTCAAGTCGGAGCTTGTCTGCGGCGACCACAGCGCTCGCAGGAGGTACACGCGAGCTTTTCAGAGTCAAGCTTTTGCGCGAAATCCCAGACTGGTGGATTTTGGGGCGCTGTCTACCCTCTACTAGTTGAGTCCTGAGTAATGTATCGGACAATCTGATTCTCTGTTGCCAACCCTGAAGTGTGTTTTGGGACTTGGGCGGGGGCCAATTTACTATCTTCCATGTTGCTCAAAGACGGCGGATACACGGGCTCGAAGTGTCGAGAGGCATCTCCACAACGCTGCCCTGGCAAGTGCGCAACCACCCCCCCCCCCCCCCCCTAGAGGGTATCACAAACCATTAGCCAAATACAACCCCCGCTAGAGCTCGATCTGCGGAAGTAGCCTCTCCGGTCGAGGCAAAAGCAATACTCGAGTACGGAACGCTCTACTCACGTGCGCACAGGGACATCGGCGCCACCTACATCCCGGCGCGGCGCGCGCACGCTCGGGCGCGCGAGGTATCGCCAAACACGTCCTACGGCTGCACCACAGGCTGCTGGCGCAGCTCGGCGGGGCGCCGCCGCACGAGGCGCGCCACCGCTATGCGGCGGCGGAGGAGCTCCCACCGCCGCTGGAGCGGCCCCGCGTCGCACGGCACCGCTCCCATGCTGCTCAGCGCGAGGCGCAAGCTCACCGTGCGGTGCTCCGGAGCCGGGAAGAGCGGCACCGCCACCGTGTCGAAAAGCTTGTACGGCTGCTGCAGCAGCACCTGCGGCGTCTGCTGGAAAAAGTTGCGGAACGGAACGCCGCCGAAGCTAGGGTCCTGCTCGTGGACCATTGTGATGGCGATGCGTCGGTCCATCGCCGCTTGCACGAGGCGCGCGACGGCGCCGCCGGCGTCCAGGAAGGTCTTATCGTTCAGGTAGAGCAGGCACACTACGTGCCCGGAGAGCGGGGCCGCGTTGACTCCCTCGAGCGCCTCCTCCGCATCGCGGATCGTTACCGTCTCGGCGCTGGCGGTAGAGCTGGCGGCAGAGCCGCGCCCCTCCCTCGCCGCCGTATTGAGCTCCCTTGCAATGCCGACGGCGCCCTCGTTGTCGCGGCACACGAGGATGGTGACGGGGCCGCTGAAGGCAACGGGGCCCGCCTGGCCGGGCACCATCACGCCGTCGGCGAGCTCGGCCGGGCGGCTCGCGTAGTAAGGAGAGTGGAGCAGCATGCGAAGCGCGACCGCCTTGAGCGACTCGAGCTGAAAGGCGTTCACCCGCACCCACACGATCGGCGGCGTCGCCTCAAACACGCGCGCGAGCATCTCGCTAGGCCCGCTGTATGAGGGGTAGGCCGGCGGGGCGGTCTCGACGCAGTGCTCGCGGCACTCTGCCTTCAGCGCCTCGATCGAGGCGCCGCCCTTGTCGACGTCAGCCTCCTGGATCGGGATGAAGGGCCGGTTCGAGCCTAGCGCCGCGTACAGCTCGCGGCGACAGTTGAAGCTCTTGAAGTATCCCGCGCTGAGGAAGACGAGAAAGGTCGTCGCGTCTCTGACCGACTCCTCGAGCCTGCCCACGTCCTCGAGATTGTCGACGTCGAGCCAGATCCGGACGCCGGGGAGAAGAAGCTGGAGCTGCCGCACGACGGTGTGCGTCTGGTCCTGGCCGGTCCCCCAGCAGTGCGAGATGAAGCCGTGGAAGTGGCACTCGGGGGACAGCTCGAGGACTGGGGGGCGGCCGGAGGAGGAGAGGCGGATGGTGGGCGCGCGGACGGCGCTGACAGTCTTGAAGACGACGACGAGCAGCGACACGGCCAGCATTGCGGCGGTGAGCGCGATCACAAACTCACTCGCTCCGCGCGCGCTGTCGAAGCCGACGAGGGTCTTGCACATGTCCTCGTAGGCGGCGCTCTCGCACAGCTGAATCACCATGCCGGAGGTGAAGCAGCAGGAGAGAAACAGATTGGCGGTGCACGCGAGGTAGAGGTCGTCGTCACGCTTGAAGGGCCGGGCGAGGGCGAGGGCGGCGAGGTAGAGGGCCGAGACGACAGAGGCGACGAAGAGGCGGAGCAGCTTGCTCGAGCCGTCGTCTGTCTGGATGAAGAGCACCAGTGAAGCAAGGAAGAGCTTGCGGCCCAGATCGACGACCTCCCAGAAGAGGAAGCGCGGGTCGTAGTCGCGCCAGAGGAAGCGGCTGGCTCGGGCCGTTGCCCTGACTCGCTGCGCCCGCACCTCGGAGCGGATCGAAAGCAGGAGCGCCAGGAAGGCTAGCGGCACGAGCACCGGCCACAGGACGAAGAAGGCCCAGAAGTACGTGTCGAGGCCGCTGAACTCGTCGTCGCCGGCGCTGCAGAGCACGTCGAGGTCGGCGACGAGGTAGGAGCGCCTGTCCCCGGTGAAGTCGTCGACATTAAACGACTCGCACTGCCGCGCCTTGAAGATGGAGCGGGAGACCGAGGGCAGCACGAGGTAGGCAACGAGGATGGCCCAGTAGAGGAGGCGACGCAGCGTAGCGCGCACAAGGTCGCGCCGGAGGGCGTCGGCGCGACCAGACAAGAGCCACTCCGCGAGGGCGCAGCAGGCGAGGGCGGCGCCTCCGAGCATGATAGACAGGATCGGCCACAAGCCTGCGAGCAGGAGCCGGTCTCCCATCGAGCCGATGCAGGCATCCGGATAGGTGAGGCCGAGCAAGTCCAGGCTGATCGCGTCCATGAAGTCGGTCCAGCGCGTGAAGTCCTCGTGGAGGCGGACGCCGTAGACGGGGCCGAGCGTCGCGGCGATCTGGTAGAAGCTGACCAGGATCTTGAACTTGGGCTGGAAGCCGACCTAAGGCAAATGATGCGAATGGTGTCTCGCCACGCGCAGTGTGTGAGGCAGCGACGGGCTACTTCCATTCTATGATCGGCAGAAAGTCCACGGCAGGAAGAGGCAGAGTGGCTGCAGGGTGACTGAGGGGGCTGCACGCCGACCTGCGACTCGCAGATGTCAAGACGTGCTCTGAGGCGGCCCCACGCCTCGGCGCGGGCGAGGGTGCGGTACAAGACGAGCCCTGTCCCTGCGAGAGCGACGACGACTCCCGCCAGGATGCCGAACCGCCCTGTCGTCGGGCAGTCGGTGCAGCCTCGCTCCGCGCGGCTGAAGTACTGCTCGTCGCTCACGCACCACTCGCAGAGCGGGCCGGTGTGACCGAGATCGCAGCCAGGGCCGGCGCTGCCAGACGCCGCGACGAGGCGGCGGGAGGTCTCCGTTGCGCCGCTCGAGCCGCTGCAGTGGTCGGAGGCGTCGCACTCGTGGACCTTGGTGGTGAGGGGCGAGGCGCGCCAGTGGTTGCGCCGGACGCCGAGGGTCTCGAGAGTGGTATTGGTCGCGCAGTTGGCGTTCAGCGGGCACGCTTTGCAGTGCTCGGTCGGGAAGCGAAAGATGTCATCCGGAAGGGCGCTCGCGTCCCGCAGGTAGAAGCCCTCCTTGCAGATGGAGCAGGTGACGTCGCCGCTGTCGGAGCCGGTAGGGTAAGGGCAGGGGGTGCACTGCGACAGGCCCTCGCTCGCAGCGTAGGTGCCCGCCTCGCACTCCTCGCACTCGATGGTGGAGGCTGCGAAGCGTCCGATCGGACACAGCTCACACGCGGACATATTAGCCGAGGGGGCGATGCTGCCTGGAGCGCAAGGCGCTGGCTGCGCGGCGCCGCCGGCGCAGAAGCTGCCAGGCGCGCAACCGACGCAATCGTCGAGGCGCTCCAGCGTGGAGGACGCCTTCCCGTTGTAGAAGCCCGCGGGACAGGTCGCCGGCAGCTGAGCGCTGCTTCCCTTGGGACAGAACGTACCCAGCGCGCACTCGAGGCAGCCCGCGGCTCCGGAGTCCGGCTGGTACGTCCCTTCATCGCAGACGGTGCACTGGCCCTGAGCAGGCGTGGCTGCGGTTCCCGGAGAGCACACGGCAGGCGCGGCGCCGCCTCCCGCGCACGACGAGCCGGCGGGGCAGGCGAGGCACTCGGGGTCGCCGTCGGCGTCCGTCGCGTTGGCGTACGTGCCAGGCGAGCACTGCGCGTCCAGCTCGCGCGATGACCCCTGCGGGCAAAACTTGCCGGGAGCGCAGCGGACGCAGGCGGCCTGGCCGGTCTCGTTCTGGTAGTAGCCCTGGGCGCACAGCTCGCACGCCTCGTTGCGCGTGCCGGCGGCGAAGCTGCCCTCGCGACACGGCGTCTGCTCTGTGGAGCCGGTGGTGGCGAAGTGGCCCGGCGAGGCGTCGGTACACTCGCTCGCGCCGGTCGCGCCCTGGTAGGAGCCCTCGACGCACAGCTCACAGACCTCGTTGCGCGTGCCGCTTGCGAAGCTGCCCTTGTCGCACGCCGTCTGCTTCGTGGCGCCCCGGGCGGCGATGAAGCCCGGATCGGCGGGCGTGCACTCCAAGGCGGCCGACAGGTCCGTCCTGTCCGAGTAGGAACCGCCCTCGCACGGCAGCGGCCTCGACGCGCCCGGCTCGCAGTAGCTGCCCTGCTCGCAGTCGAGGCAGGACGGCGCACCCGTGTCGTTCTGGTAGGTCCCGCCAGCGCACAGCTCGCACTCGGAGAGGCCGGCCGTGGCAGCGAAGCTGCCCTTGGCGCACGCCGTCTGCTGCGTCGAGCCCGTGGTGGCGAAGTGGCCCGGCGAGGCGTCGGTGCACTGCGAGGCGGCGGTAAGGTCCGTCTTGTCCGAGTAGGTACCCGCATCGCACGGCAGCGGCGCCGACGCGCCCTTGGCGCAGTAGCTTCCCTTCTCGCATTCGCGGCAGGACGTCGCGCCCGTATCGTTCTGATAACTGCCGGCAGGGCAGTCCGTGCACTCACTCAGCCCGGGCTCGCCGCCAAAAGTCCCAGCACGGCAGCTCGCGCACGTCTCGCTGCTGTCTGCGCCGGCGGTCGGGCTAGAGGTTCCGGGGGGGCACTGCTGACAGGCGTCGGGTGAGCTGCTGCCCGTCTTCTCGTTGTAGCTCCCCGCAAGGCAGGGCGTGAAGCCGCCGCCACAGTCGTCTGTGACTTCGCAGTACCCACCCGCGGCACACAAATCGCACGACGTCTGCCCGCGCTCCGTCTGAAACTCGCCAGCAGGGCACTTCACACACGCAGCCTGGCCGGTGAGGTTCTGATACTCCCCTGCGGCACAGTCGAGGGGCTGGATGGTGCCTGCCTTCGGGCAGAAGCTTCCCGCGGGGCAGTCGGTGCAGCTGGTGGCGTTGAGCTGATCGGCGAACGTGCCGGGAGGACACTCGTCGCAGGGACGGTCCGTGCCGGCTGTGGACTGGCTCGTCCCCGGAGAGCAAGGGAGGCACGACTCGGCACTGGCTGCGCCAATCACGGGCATGTAGAAACCAGGCGCACACGGGAGCGGTTCCGCTGTGCCCTTGGGACAAAAGTGGCCTCGCTTACACGCACCATCGCAGGAGGAGTTGGTGAGGCCGCTCGTGTTCCCGTAGTAGCCAGCGGGGCAAAGGTTGCACTCGGGGACGCTGAAGTCGCCCTTAAAGGCGCCCTCGGTCGGCATCCAGCTGCCCAAGCGGCAGTCCCAGTCTATCGGCTTGTCGGTCTGTATCGTCTTGTCGTCGCCAGCGGTGTTGCCGGTGAAGGAGGCGTCGCTGATCGAGGAGGGCGTGTTTGAAAGGTACAGCACCGAGCCTGACTTCCCCGCTCTGTTGTCGATGAAAGCGATACCCGCGATGGAAAGGGAGATGCTGTCCAGCGCGAAGACGACGCCGCCGTCCTGCGGTTGTGAGGAGAGAGCGGAGTGAAGCAGCCGCGATCCTCGCCATCTCTCGCCCAGCTGCCGTGCGGCGCTGCTGGGAGGCGGCTAGCTCTACGCGGCGCACCTCGCCAGCCGAGCAGCCCGATACATTCGAGCCGGTGATCGAGACCGCACCGCTGCTCCTCGCGTAGACGACGCCGCCGGACTGCGGTTGCGAGGAGAGAGCGGGGTGAGGCAAGCCGCGGCCCTCTCCATCTCCCGCCCCGCTGCCGTGCGCCGCTGCAGGGGCGCGGCTAGCTCTACGCGGCGCACGTTGTCAGCACTGCAGTCCCTCACATCCGAGTCGATGATCGAGACCGCACCGCTGCCAATCGCGTAGACGCCGCCGCCCCACTGCGGTTGCGAGGAGAGAGCGGGGTGAGGCAGCCGTGGCGCTCTCCACTGTCGCCCCGCTGCCGTGCGGCGCTGCAGGGGTGCGGCTAGCTCTTCGCGGCGCACCCAGCCAGCCGAGCAGCCCGACACGTTCGAGCCGATTATCGAGACCGCACCGCTGTTCCACGCGGAGACGACGCCGCCACGCTGCGGTTGCGAGGAGGGAGCGGGGTGAGGCTGCCGTGGCCCTCTGATCTCTCGCCCCGCTGCCGTGCGGCGCTGCTGGAGGGAGGCTAGCTCTACGCGGCGCACATAAGCCGAGCAATCTCTGACCGTCGACTCGATGATCTCGACTTCGCCTGCGCCGTAAGCGTACACAACGCCGCCTTCGCCTGCACTCCTCCCGTTGACGAGGGTCAGCCCCCGCAGGGTGAGGCTGCAGCCGCCCGTGAGGTAAAAGAGCCTGGTCTGTTCCTGGCCGTCGAGCGTCGCGCCCTCGCCGCTGCTCGCGACGGCCACGTTGATGTCGGAGCCGCAGCTGATCTGGCTGAACAGCTTGAAGTCTGCACTGGGCGGCAGGTAGATTGAGACGTCGGCTTGCGAATCAGCAGCCTCCATGATCAGGGAGCGGAGCTCGGCCTCGCTCACCGCGGCGACAAAGCCGGTGGGGAGCGGCGGTAGAGGCGGGGGTGGGAGCGGAGGCGGCAGCGGCGGTGGCGGCGGGGTCAGCGGCGGCGCAGAGGGCGGAGAGGGCGGCGGTGGCCGAGATGGAAGCGGCGGTGGCAGCGACGGCGGCTGCGGAGAGGACGGTGGCTCTGACGGCCTGCAGGTGGAGACAGGGCACATTGTCGTGAGGATGTAGGCACCGCTGCTCGAAGAATATCCGTCGACGATAATGTAGTAGCACGTGCCGGCCGAGAGCGACACGTCCAGTACGGTTTGCGCACCGCAATCGCCACAGTCGTCGCAGTTGCTTACTTCTGACCCAGAGAGAGTGAAGACTCTCAGCCACGTGTCAAAGTTCGAGCCACACGAGTTGAAAGTGTGGATGCCCGAGGCGCAGGCGCAAAAGGTATAGACGGCGTCCGGGGATTCGTTACCGATCTGGTCGCTGTAGGACGAGGTGTCATCCCCCGTGGTAAAGCCACAAGAGAGGGGTTCCACATCAGTCACTGACAGCCAGGGCGGCGGCGGTGACAGAGGCGGCGGCGGAGAGGACGGAGAGGGCGACGGAGCACATGCCAGCGGGAGCATCGCGAGGAGAATCAGCCACGCGCCGCGCCTCGACCCCGTCCGGCACCGCACGAGGTGCTTGGAGGTGCTCCTCCGCACCGAGAGCAGCACGCCGCACCAGCACGCTCCGAGCAGCAAGAACAAGGCAGCCCAAAGCTGACCGCGCAGCCGTGCGCGGCCAGGCACAGAAGAGGAGGGTCCGCTCGAGAAGGGAAAGTGGAACGGGAAGGGCAGCTCGATGGAGCGCTCGTCGGCCGGCGGGCCCGTGGGAGACTTGTCGGTCTTGGAGCGCTCGTCGGTGAGCGCGTGGCGAGGCTCCACGTGCCGCGCAGGGGCGGCGCAGCGTGGCTGCCAGTCGGCGCACACACTTGAGACCGAGAAGATGTCTGACTCGACCGCGTTCGAGTCGGAACTCTGAGCGGCACGGACCTCTGCAGGCCACGCCGGCCCCTCAAGCGTGGCCGCGAGAAGAGGTTCGATGGCCCGGCAACGCTGGAGGAAGAGGTCCTTGGTTGGGACTCGAGAAGCGTCCGTCGATCCGTCGTTCGCCCGCCACTCGCCACCGGCGTGCATGCTAGCGACGGGCGCGCCGAGGCCAGTCTCGACCAGCTTCCGCACCTCCAGCATCCCAGGCTTCCCAGCGTCGGCGGGCCGCAACTCGGGCGACGTGTCGTTCACGGGCAAGACGGTGTCGCGTCCCCGAGCGATGACCCCCGTCCTGTTGCTGTAGACGGGACCGACGAGGTCGATCTCAGGCTCGCCCTTGCGCTCCATGCTGTTGCGCGAGGCCGGGACGGTCTCCAAGTCGGCCTCGGCCTACTCGCAAACAGGCAATCGTTCAGTCAGCGGGTTACAAAGCTCGCACACACAAAGAGCCAGAGGGGCGCTCACCGGCTGCTTCTCGTAAATTTCCTTGACGGACGCCAGCGGCTCGCCAATTAGGTGCAACGGCTCGCCCACCTCGCCGATCTCGTCCATCAGTGCTTCCCACACGTCGCGTCCGCCCTGAACGGCGCGCGGGCTGTTAGTCACGAGCTTGCGCGGCGCGGATACTAGCACGCGCGAGCGAGCACGCACCGGGTGGTTGGCGGGCGCGCTTTCCGACGATGCGATGGCTACAAACGAGCTGGCGTCGTTGCCGCCAACCTCGCAGAAGCCGTTGGGCGATGCCGGCGTGAACGGCTTCGCGACGGTCGCGAGAGGCGATGTCGGCCACGGGGATTCGTACCGCTGCGAGGAGAGAAGCGCGGAGGTGGCAGAGTACGAAAAGTGCGCAAACCCGGCTCCGAGGCAGAACAGTGCAAGGATGCCAAAGAGGCGGAGCAACTTGTAGGACTTTGGCCACGAGAACCGGCCGGCGGCAGAGCCCTCGGGCGTGATGATCGTGGTCGTCTCGACGTCGACCGTCGCGCCCTGAACAAGAGGGCGCGAGACTGGCCGTGTGAGAGCGGCGAGCGGGGGAGGAGGCCGCATACGCAGGCGACGAGCACCGAGTCTGTTGTCGACGGCGTGGAGCCGACGGTCACCTTGCCGGTGCCACCGAGGATGCCCTCGTTGCCGTCCGTTCCGAGCAGGGCCCTGAACCTGTTCTTGCCGCCGACCGGGATGCTCTTGGTGCGGACGATCCGGGCGGACGCGCCCTTGCGCCCGTTCTTGCGGCGCGGGTCCGACGGGGTGGTCCAGTCGGCGATGCCCTGGGCGCGCGCAAGGGTGCGTCAATAGTTGAGCTCTGCGCGTGCAGCACCGCGGCGTGCGAGGCGCTCACCGCCGGGACGGGCTCCTCCGCTGGAAACTCCTTGGCCGCCGAGGCGGCCCAGTCGGCGTCGCCCTACGCAGTGAAAGCAGGGCGGGTGGGGGAGCTGGTCGGCAGACGCACGGCGCAGAATGCAAGGCGCTCACCGCCGGGGCGGGCTCCTCCGCTGCGCCGGTGACCGGCTTGAGAGCCGGCGCTTTTTTGGTGACCGGCTTGAAAGCCGGCGCGTCTTCGGTGACCGGCTTGAGAGCCGGCGCTTTTTTGGTGACGACGTTGGGGGACGTCGGCGGGTCGGTCGGGCGCGCGTTCTCTGACATGATGTTGATCGAGTCGACTCCGTACCTGCGAGGGGTGGATGGCGAGTGGTAGTGGGCTGAGTTCCTCTTTGAGAGGGGGTATCGAGAGGGGGGGCTCAAGGGCGCCGCACCTACTCGCAGCGTACGTAGCTTGAGGCCCAACTGCAAGAAGCCGCGGCGGCTCCCCTCGTCCCACCTTGTTTGGTGGATCTGCGAGCGCGCAGGTGACGGCGGGCGAGCGTCAGCATCGCAAATGGGAGGAGTATGGCGCGGACTCGCTTCGGGCGTCGAGGGGGCGCAGTAGGCAGGGAGGCGATTCGCGGCTGCGCGCTGGGCCGTCGCTCTGCACGCGATCCGGGTGTGAACCACATAGGTCGGTTGAGCCTTGGAGCGAGCCGCGCGCGGGGCGGGGCGTTCGCAGCACGGCGGGCACGGCACGAGCGCGCTGCAGCGCATGGGATGTGGGGCGAAGCGGCCGGGCACGCTCGCGCAAAGGCCAACACGCGCCGCATCGCGGGGGGCGCCTGGAGAGGGAGTCGAACCTGAGTACGGTCTAAACTGACGTGCAACAACCCAGGCGCCGTGGCAATCGTTCAGAGAGAGAGAGAGGCAATCGTTCACAGAAAAACACCCTACAGCGTGAAGTATTTTTGCTTGGCCGTACGTCATGATGAAATTCTGCAAAAACCTGGCCGGCCCCTGCCCTGCCCCTAGAGAGAGAGAATTCTTGATACGAAACCACGACGACACACACCAGTCGACTCGCATCGGTTGCCTCCATGAACGGCGGAGCTATTCTCTCTCTCTCTCTCTCTCTCTCTCTCTCTCTCTCTCCCCTGCCCCTACCTAGCTACCTACCTACCTACCTTCCTTATGGGAAACTAAAAAAATCACTGCATGGGAGAGATTTTTATTAACCAAAACAAACAAGAAATCACGACTCTCACAGTGATGGGTGAAGGTGGGGTATACTATACCAACAAAGTGATGGCTGGCGGCGGCGGCGGCGGCGGCAGCGCGCGCGCGGCGCGCGCGACGGAGGGGCGGAGCAGCGACCGCTGGCGCGGTCGCTGCTCCGACTGTGCCAGGGACGAGCGCTCTGCGCCGCTGCACAGAGCGCGCGTCCGGCAAGGGGCAAGCGTGGCGGCGCGGGACGCGCGGCGGCGGCGGCGAGCAGCCGAGCGCTCCGTGCGCGGTGAGGCGGCCGGGTGAGGGCGCGGCGGGTGACGGGGCAAGGGAGCAGCCCACACCCGGCCGTCGCTTTTTGAGCGATGCCTGCGGCACGCCTGCGCAGGGGCCGCAGGGCGGTCAGTTGTGGGGCGAGGCGGTGCCGGCCGCTGGCCGGGTGCAAGGCGCCGGCCTCGGCGCCGCCTCGGCGCGCAGCACGGGCCCGGCGAGCCTCTGAGCGGGAGCCGAAGGTTTGCTGCGGTGGGAGGTAGGTAGGTAGGTGGTGGTGGGGTGGCTTGACTTTGCAGAGGCCGTCCCTAGCTGTGAACAGCAAAACGGGACAGTATTGACACAGTGTTCAGAGGGCAACGCGCACGCCCGCGCACGCCGCGCACGCGCGCGCACGTGCGCGACTTTGTCACGTGCGTGCTGCGCTTCGCGATCACGCGCGAGACGGAGTATAGGGGAGGGAACCCCCCCGGGGGGGGGGGGGGGGGAGGCAGTGCAACGCGCGGCGGGGTGTCTCCGTCGCTGTATTTGGTGGTGAAAAGAAAAATGGCTGCCGCACCGCACAACAACTGAAATCCGGTTCGGGGCAAGAAATGGCACCATTCTCATCGGCATTACACTGACGACGCCTGGCTCGATGCCAATCCACTCACTCTCGTCAGCTCACTCTCTCTTTGCCGGTCGCCGCGCCGCCCTGTCCCTGGGGCCGGCGCTCGCGCTGCTGACGGCCCGGCCGGCGGCGGCTTCCGATGCAACAGGCAGCGGTGCAGTCGCAGTCGTGGCAGGCGACAGGAAAGGAGAAGGAGCGCGCCGTGTACCGCGCGATCGAAGAAGACATCGACTCCAAGCGCCGCTTCCGTGAGGAGGCCGGAGACCTGGGCTATGTCGGCGGAGAGTACACGAAGCGCTCCGCAGCGTCGAGAGCGTCGTACGACCGGCAGGCTGAGGAGTCGCGGCCACAGGGGTCCTACACGCGGCCTGAAGAGCTCGTCACGGCCGGCACGGCCCGTGCGGTGAGCCGCCGCGTCAACTCGCTCTGAGAGCTCATGCAGCTCTGAGAGCTCATGCAGGCGTGTGAGCTGTGCAGGCGGTGTGAGAGTGTCCGCTCGTTCGCTTGGTGCTGTGTCGCGCAGGCGGGTTTGTTTGGCTTGGGAACAGAGCTCGGAGACAGTGCACTGAGCGCACACACACTGCGCGTCACCGGCGAGAGGATTTGCTCCCACCATAACTACGTGCGCTCCAAGTGCTCCCAACAAGAGCTCAGCTTCGACTTAACTTCGACCTCGCCCCGCCATGGACAGGTTGCCGGCGTCCAGCAGTCTCAGCGCGTGGGCCCGGAACCACGCAAACGTCCTCACATACGCATCGGTTCGGTTCGGGTGGCCCCTGGTGGGCTCCCAGCCGGAGTCCGGGTACAGCCCAGACACGACCTGAAAAAGCACCCTGTGCTCCGCGCTGTAGTTGTGCGTCTTTTGGTTCATGAAGTGCCCGTCTGCGTTGGCGCCACCGCCAAAGCCGTAGAGCCGGATCGAGTTGCACAGCGGCGCCATTGCCCAAAAGCTTTCAAACCCGGCCGATGGAAGGTGCGATCCAATTGCAGGGAACCTTGAAGAGAAGATTTCTTGTTGGATGTTGGTTTTCAAAGATCTCTCTCTCTCACACCTGTTTGTGCACACCTCGCGCGCAGAGTTCTTTTTCGATGGCAGAGTTCTTTTCGGCGCCGCGGTTCTGATGCTCGCCTCCGGAGAGGGGGAGTTGTAGGTATGTTGTTGGGAGGGGGGGCCTCCGCCAGGCGCCGCCATACCAACGGCAAAGACCGAATCCTCAGCATTTGCCCAGCTCACCTCGCTACCTCGCTCCCGCCGCCTCGCCCCGCTGGCGCCGCGCCGTGATGCGACGGTCGTCTCGTCGGCAAGACAAGCGTCAGCACGCGCGTGATAAGGCGAGCGCCAGAGCCACGGCGGCCGAGCTGCGCGAGCGCCGAGAGGCTCAGGCGCAGGAGCAGAGGCTTCACGCCGAGGTCAAGAAGTTCGGCCCCCGCCCGACGCCAGCCATGGAGGGCAGGCCGCCGGAAGGCGTCGCTTTTGGCGAGTGGGATCGCCGCGAGAGCGTGCTCGCCGGAGTGCATGCCGAGATGCAGCGGCGTGGCCTGGGCTCTCTGCTGAGGGCCCAGTCCGAAACGGGCGCCAAGTTCATCCAGTTCGACCGCTGCCTCAAGGCCCGCCCCTTCGGTGTCCACCTGCCCTCCGATGCCGTTGCGTCTGTCCAGTCCTACCAGTCCTTCGACACGCTGTTCGATGCTTGCGTTGCTGTGCGCGAGCAGATGGGAGCCGAGGAAGAGCTTCGAGAGGCAGCTGTGGACCAGCGAGGCGATGACCTTTCGGACGGGCAGGCGGCGGAGGCGGCCGACAAGGAGCACGTTGACCTCTCGCGTTTCAAGAGACTGGTTGTCGCAGGCGGCGGAGGCGGCCGCTTCTACGTGAACGGCAGCGCCCTTGTTGATGCCGTGTGCGGATCTCGTCACAGCCGTGACAATGTACTCAGCCTCCTCAGCGACGCCGACCGCTGGCTGCTCCTCCCTCCTGGCGGCTTCTCTTCGCTCGGCCACGCCGCCCTGGCCGTGGCGCGGAGCGACATGGGGAAGCAGATGGTCGCGCGGCAAGAGGAGCGTGCGCGGCTCGCGGCTGCGCCAGCGGTGCAGTTGAAAACGACGAAGCTCCCGATTGGCATCTTCCAGTTCCTGCTGCTGCCGTCCCTGCTCTCCTCGATGCTCTTCATCTTCAGCCGCGCGGCAGAGTGGACCCACAACTCTTTCATTGAGCTGCCGCAGCGCGCCATCGCCTCCGCGTCGGGCAGCGTGCTCCACTGCTTGCCGCTGCTCGCCAGCCAGACGGCGCGCACCCGCCCTTTCCGCCCCTCCCGCCCGCCCCTCCACCCACCCACCCCCCCCGACACACACACACCCCACGCCTCACCTGCTTCCAACAGGTGCGCATCCCTGGCTGGCATTGCCCGGCGCCCCTCTCATTTGTGAAGGCCGGGTTGATCACGCTGCTCCGCAACCTCCTCTGGCTGCTAAAGTACACGGGCATCTGCCTCTCCTTCATCGTCCCCGGCATCACCACCTACCAGCTCGGCCTCCTCGTCGACCACCCTTCGATGGTCAAGATGGGATACGTGCTGTGCTTGCACTTCCTGCCCGCGATCATATGCGTCATCTGTTGTGCGTCCCTCCCCCCCCCGCCCTCTTGCCTCCACAGCCCCATGCACACCCCTCCACCCCAACTCGCCCTCCCCTCCCTGTCCGGCAGGCGACGACCGAGGCATGGCCGCCTTTGGCCTCCGCCTCCTCTCCTTCCTCGCGGGCAAGAGCGTCGGCTCGCTCGGGTGGGCGGCGTGGCAGGTGTCAGCCGAGATTCCGTTTCGATTCCACCGAGATTCCACCGAGATTCCACCGAGATTCCACCGAGATTCCGCCAACATTCCAGCCGAGATTCTTCTCCTCCTCTCTTCCCCACGAGGCCACCCCTCTTCTCCCCACTCCGTACCTGCAGGTGCGGCTCAGCGAGTACGCGCACGAGGTCTTTTGGCTGCACGCGCAGCACGCCACCCTCGGCCCGGCCTGGGTCGGCGCGCTCGCGGCCGCGCCGTACCTCACGTACATCTCCTTCCAGAGCACTTGGGCAGCCATCGAGTACACCTTCGTGACCGACAGCAGCGGCGTGACGCGCATCCGCCGCGTCCCCTTCATCAAGATCGTCCACGTCGCCGACGCTCGTTACCAGCAAGAGGCCTACGTGTCCGAGTACGACGCCAACCTCCGCATCGCCTCCGCACTTCGCCGCGTGTCCGAGACAGGCCTGTCCGATGAGCTGTCTTCACCGACCGTGCCGCCCTCACCCACGCGCCGCTCTCGATTTAGGCGTCTTCCGCTTCTTCTACGCCGGCAAGGTGCCGGGCGCCACGATCAACACACGCAACATGGCGAAGGCGCTTGGCACCTTCTCCACTGGCGCGCCTGGCATCATGCGCTCGGGCCTGGGCGCGCTGACTACGGAGCTGCGCGCGGGGGGCTCGCTGGGTGTGCCATGGCGGCCGCACGGCGTCGACCACCCGGCGGCCCCAAACTCGCCAGTCCGGGGCGAGTGGAGGGTGTGCTTCCCGCTGCGGCAGGTCGGCAAGCGTGCGGAGCTCGCGCTCCGGCCCTTCGTCCCTGCGTGGGGGGGGGCGCGGCTGCGCTCCCTGTCCGTCGAGAAGGTGCTCTTCCGCTGGGCACCCGCGCCTGCCGCGCAGCAGGCAGCCGCCGACGCGGGGGCCGAGGCTGCAGCGGCCGCCGACGCCGCCTCGATCAACCTGCACGTGGCGGCAGCGGCGGCGGCAGACTCGAGCGAGGGGGCAGCCGCCCTCGAAGCCGCTGAGGCCGCACACGCAGCCGCCGTGGAGGAGGCGGCGGAGGCGGCGGAGGTGGCCGAGGTGACCCTCGCGGCGGCGGGCGCGGCCGAGGCGCGAGATGGAGCTGGCCGGCCTCTGCCCACTCTCTCCTCACCCTTTCCTCACGGCTCTCCCTAGGTGCTGCTCACCGAGCGCGAGGCGCTGCTCAAGGTGGTCGAGTCGGAGGCCTTTCGCACTGCTTGGCAGCGCTGGGGCGGCGTGGCTGTCGTCCACGACATGGCGCGGCGCATCCTCTCTCTCGGCCCCGCGGAGCTCACCGCCCTCGCGGAGTACCTCTGCAACAACCGCGGCGTCAAGGCTGGCCCACGAGACGCGGCTGCGCAGCAATTCTGCACTCTCACCCCTTTCGCAGCGTCCATAGGTCACGGGCCCGTTTGTCGTGGAGTCGCCCCCGCTCGTCCGCATGTTGTGGCAGGAGCACCCGGAGGTGGCGGCGCTGCGCGAGGCGGGCGTGCTGCCCGGGCCGGACGTGCTCCCGCTGCTGCACGTTGCGGTGCAGTACGGCCAGCAGCCGACCGCCGCCGACGTCAGCGCCATCAACGTCTACCTCGCGGAGGCGCGCTCCTCGGTTCGGCTCGACCTCTCGCAGCTCGCCGCCGAGCAGAAGCGGCTTCTGCACGGCGGCAGCGACGCCTTCGCACAGATGCTGCGCGACAGCGGCTACGACCTGGAGCCGCTGCGCGCGGTTGACGCCGTCACGCACGTCTCAAGCTGACAGCGACTCGTTGTGAGGGGAGGCTCTGCGTGTAGGCGGCCGCTGACTTCAAGAGGAGGTGGGTCGAGCGGCTCCAGTCGGTGGCCGCCGCGGCGGCCAACCTCGCTCCTGCAGCACGCGCCGAGCCGGCGCCGAGCCTTGCACTCGCCACAGCCTCGTTCTCGCATCAAGTTCACAGGCTCCTGCTCTGTAGGTGCCCGAGGACATGGACGTCAACGAGTGAGGCGCTCGTGCGCCGCGCTCGTCTCCTCGCTGCCGGGCGACTCCCCCGCTCGGTGCCCTCCTAGCACGGGTGCCCTCCACGGCACCCGTGCTGCATGTTGCCTCGGTGCCTCGCCCGGCACGGGGCACGCACCCTCTCTGTCAGTGCCATCGACACGCACGCCACTGCCCGGCGTGATTGTCGATGGGCACTGCCGCTCGGGATCTCTTGCATGTGCCACACGCGCGCGCACACGACGCGCCCGCCTCGCTTGTGCCGAGGCGGCTGGCAGCGCCGCCACCGGCGGCATTCCGCACGCCGCGAACATGTACCCACCGTTGGCGCTGTTTCGCGCCGTGGGAGAGGCGTACCCAAGTCACTGTCATACGTTGCATGTGCCACACTGGTGTGTGCGCGCTACCCGAACCCAGACCCGCACAGTTTGGGTCCTCTTGCTCTCTGACTCCGCGCACCGGGCCACCGGTGTCCGGAGATGTCGTCTCACCTCTGTGTTCCTGAGTGCTGAGAGAGATGTGGAGTTTGCATGTCGCAAGCTATTGAAAATGAGGTATTGTGTAACTGCAGACCATCTCTTGTATCACAGAGCTCGCGCACGGTGCACACATGCACTCGAGGCATATATGCCTCGACTGCACTCTCGAGTGTCAAGATTCATGCAACACCCCATGATGATAGGAGCGTGTGCGTGCGCAATCTCGCGCATCATCGTACAACTGAACTATAGCTGAGCAGGGATGCCATTGGACTAGGGAAGGCGGGCCGGGAGATGCCCGCTCAGATCTAGGGCGCGACGCCACACGGGCATCACCAGGCAAAGGAGAGGAAGCGAGGGAAGCGAGCGAACCAGCCGAACCTCGCCGCGCGCTCGTGCAGCAGCGCGGCCACGTCCGGATTGCGGTTATGCAGCTCGGCGATACGCCCCGGTGTGGGGCCGGTATGGGCTGGAGCCTGCTCGAGCAAGCAAGCGCGAGGTGAGGGCACGGCCGACGGCAGCGACGCGGCAGGGAAGGAGCCCGCACCGCTTGCGCCATGTGCAGCGCCTCGGGGTACGCCTCCAGTACCGCGCGGACGACCGGAAGAAACACGTTGTAGGCGGCCTTGTGCAGCGGCGTCTCGTCAGCCTGGGCGCGGGAGTGATAGAAACCGCTCGGGTGTGTGTGTGGCTGCGGCAACCAAAGTCGGCTGCTTGAGAGGCCGAAGCGGGGCGGAGCGGTTTTGGGGAACGCGCCCGGTTGGCTTCGCGGACACCGTCTGGATAGGCTTCGATGAGGGCGAGTATGACGTCGGGCGACGAGGTGCAGCGCGCGGCCTCGTGTAGAGGGAGCTCCCCGAGGATCTAAGAGGGCAGAGGGTGCGAGGGTGAGCGCCAGACCGAATCCCTCCGCTGAATCCCGCCGCGGACGCACCGCGGTCCGCGAGCGAGCAGCCTCGGGGTGTACCTCAATGAGCCGGCGAATTACCGCCTCGGAGTCGGTGTAGGCGGCGGCGGCGTGGAGGGGAAGCCTCGCGGCCTGAGCATGGCAAGCGGCGTCAAGGAAGGTGGAGAGGACTCAGCGGGCGGGAAGGGGAAGGCGCCACCGGATTCGTCTCTCGCGCGCGCTCGGGCGTGATGAGCTCGAGCAGGCGCTCGTCGGGAAGGCGGTAGGTGCTGCTCTGCAGCAGCGAGGGCCCCGCCCCTCGGCCGCGCGAGGCGGCCACGTGCGGCACGCTGGTGGACCACGGCCAGGCGACCGGCTCGCGGCAGATGGGGCACTTGAGATCCAGGTCCTCCAGTGGCACAGAGGCGTCCCCTTGCTCCACCGCGTCGCGGAGAGCACAATCTTGGCAGATCTCGTGGAAGCAGGGCCAGCGGAAGGCAAACTCAACGGTCGGCACGCCGGCGGCAATCTCGTCGTCCGTCGCCGGCCGCACCGCCTCCACATAGCAGATAGAGCACAGAGGCTTGGCCAGAAAGCCTGCGCGCTCCTGCACTCTCGTCGGCACACCCTCGCAGATCTCCAGCACCTCGACGAGCGCGTCGAGCGCATCCAATTCCAAGCGCTCGCGGCTCGGATAGGGCGCCGCGTCCCAACGGCGCAGAGGGTCTGCACTCTCGGCGTGCGGGCGAGCGGCCAGCGCGCCTAGGGAGCTCGCGCGATCACGGAGCACACCCCACCACTCCGAACCGACCGGACGCGCGGGGAGAGGGGGAAGTAGTGTATCCTCGCTGCCGCCTCCGTTGTCGCGTGCCGATTCGAGCGCTGACTCGAGCGCTGACTCGAGCGCCGTCTCTACTGCGGCGGAGTTGTCCTCAAGGATGCGCCAGCAGATTTCAGCGTCGGGTCCGCCGAGCACGAGCCCTACGCGCCGTGCGAGGCTTCCGGCAAAGTCTCGGCTGTGCGTGGCGTCAAGGAATGTCAGGGACGCAAGCGCCGCTGGGAGCTGCGGCAGATGAGGTGGCGATCTCGCAGACCGAGGCACGGGCGAGTCGTGGGCCGCCGCGCTAGGGTCGGGCGGGAGCTTCATGGGCCGGGCCCAACGAGGAGCCCGCCCTCACTCAACACCGTGCACGCTCAAACCTCGAGGTTCTTTGCTTCTTCTTTTTTTTTCTTTTTGAGAGCGCCTTCGTTGTTAATAGTACAAACCCAATGGTCCTCTGCGAGCGGTCCTTCGTTGCAGTCGCACACACGCACACGCCGCGCCGCACCGCGCGCCCGCCCACCGCCCCGCCCAGGCGGGAAAGAGATGAGGAGATGGGACAGCGAAGGGGGAAGCACAAGCACGTATGGGAGGGTTCAGTAATGCGCCACGCTGCCCGGCGTTTCTCACTTTCCGGGACAGCCCCGCCCTTGTGAGGCAGGAAAGTGACGGCTACCCCGTACGCCCTGCAGCCTGCTACCCCGACGCCGACCGCCCATTCTCCCCTCCTCGTTCCCGCCTCGAACTCTCCGGACCCCGACAAGCCGCCCGACGTTGGGCCTCTGCCCCGCACGCTCCCGCCCCTCTGCCCCTCACACATACCCAGGCCCGACATGCACACACAAGACAAACCCGGCGTCCTGCTCTCAAAAGAAAAGAAAAATTTTTTTTCTTAGCCTTCGATGTTATGAAGCAACGCAAGGCGGACATGGCATATTGAGAGCGCCTTCGTTGTTAATAATACAAGCCCAAGGTCCCTGGTAGCAGCCATCACTCGCACACACACGCCGCACTGCACCGCGCGCTACGGCCACCATACACAATCTGGCTCGGATGTGCGGCCGGCACCCAATGATCCCAGAGGCGTTTCTCGCGGCGGCGATGCACTGCGAGTCCATTGGGCAGCCTCCGATCAGCATGGCGGCCCTGCAGCGCCTGTTCATTGTGTTTGCAGACGAGCGGTACTCCATCGTTGGCTTCCCTCGTTTGTCAAACGCCGCGCTCGTGACGCGCGCTGCCGGCAGCTATGCGAGTGGAGAACTCGCGGACCACCTTCAGACCTCGCACGTTGATCGGGCGCTGCGATGCATCTTCGAGACACACACAAAGGGCTGCAAGCGAACGCGTGCGATGCTCGACTACGAAAGCCCTCTCGAGCTCTTAAACGACGAGGACGCGCCCGACGACGACCCATCGACAGACTACGAGTCAGGGCCCGACCCCGAGGAGCCTCCAGAGGAGGAGGGCGTGGTGGGCGTTACGATCGACGGCGTCTGGTACGTGAGCAAGGAGGACTATTTCGAAGACGACGCGAACTTTGGCGAGCGGGGCAAGACCTGGGGGGGTTTGGGCGTTCCTACCGAGCTGTGCTCCGACGGGCTTTGCGCCCACATGCCGTCGCCATGCCTCCGAGCGCTGCCGGTGTTTGAGCGCGCGGTGGTGCAGCAGAGAGAGGAGTCCGAATTCTCACGCCTGTGCGAAGAGGAGCTGATGGAGCTGACGATCGGCCTCCGGATCAACGTGGACGCGCCGATGGGTAACGCGTCCTGCTTCGACCCCAACTTCGCCCCGTTTTGCGCGCGCCGCTACCCAACGCACGACGACGCGCATCCCATCTCCAGCCGCAAATGCAGCTTTACGTTTGGATTGCGCTACCACGAGGTGGACGAGGAGCAAGCCCGCGGCGTCAGCAAATTGGCGCACGAGTTGGCTTGCGATCTCGCCGCGACGCTGCTTTCCCCGTGCACGTGCAAGGCGGTCGCGCGCGATGCACAGCTCCGCAAGCGGAGGGAGGCGTGGCGCGAAGATGGGCTCAGGCGCCCCGGCGCCAAGCTAAGGGAGCTCGGCTGCACCGTCGTCGAGGGGGTGATATTCACGGGGCTAGCCCCAACGCGAGGCGGGCCGGCGCGCGCGGTGTCATGATACGCGCGCACCCTCGCGGCGAGCGCGATTCCTTGGAGAGGTAAGCGGACAGGGCTCTAGGCCCCGTCAAGCTTGCCAAGCCATGCCGATGTTCTAAGTCTTGACATGCGGTACTCTGCCACAGTGTCTGTCACATACAAGCTCAAATGTCAAAACGGCGGCGGCCCGCTGAGGTGTCCGTCCCTCGCTCCCTCTGAACTCGCCGGACCCGGCACGGACCCGCGGCGAGAGGCAGCCCCCCCCCCCCCCCTGTCTCCCAACCGTTCTCCCCGACTCCTCGCGCTCCTCGAGGCATAGCCGTGCTGCGGGGCTACGTCCACACGCGCATGCTCAGTACGGCAACGACGTTGCCGTCGCTGGCCCGCCCACCGTATAACACCGGCGCCACCACAAGTGCATCGCTAAAGTTCAGCTCAAAGTGATCGCTAAGATCGCTCGCCATGATGGCTGTGGTAGCCTTGACGCGGCGCCGGTCCTCGTCCTCCTCCACACCTTCCTCCTCGTCCTCCTCAACGAAGCAGAAGCCTGCGCTCGCACTCGAGTAGTCCTTTGCAACCAGCCTTGCCTCGTCTAGCAGCACCTTGTCGTCGACCGCCCGCTTGAGTCCCAGCGCCGCTAGCAAGCCCTCCTTGTCGGGCTGGCCCGCTGACCCTGCCCCAGTGACCACGACCACGCGGCCTACCGTGTCGCTCTCGCTCGCGGGGAGCGTTGCGCCGTCCAGCGCCTCGCTCATCCGCTCAGCTACGCCCCTCGCTGCATCAGGTGCTGCAGCTAGGTCACTGTGCGTGACGCTCGCGTCGGCAATATTCTCGTCCGAGGCGCCGCCCAGCATCCACGAGCTGCCGGATCCTGAAATCTCGGAGAGAGCGGCCGCAGACATTGGGCCGAGCATGTACAGCTGGGCTACTGTGGAGCTCACTCTCTTGCCGCCTCGGGGAGGGCTCGTGCAGCGCAGACCTGTCCTTCGTCTCGATGTACATCGATGACGAGGTCGAGGTCGACGGAGTCAGTCCGGCGCAGCCAGCTCTACTATAAGCTGTGGGCCGCTGTTTTCACGGTGCTCAGACTGCCCCCGGGTTAAGATCTCGGGCAAAACTCTTTTTCCCACCTTCGAGTACACCCCCAAGACTTCCCCAAACCGCCCAGGATGAGCTCCTGAGGTGCCAGTCCGCCCGAGATATGACCGGTTGAAGTTGGGGTTCCACGGTCAGGATGGAGGTGTCGAACTGGATGGGGGTCAGCCAGGGAGGCTGTTGTGGCGCACCGGACCGCCCCCCAGCACCGTACCCCACCCAACTGCATCCACGGGAGTCACAAACGGTGCTGCACTCGCGGCTGCAAGCACTCACGACACTCAAACCCACCATCTGCCTCATACCCTGTACGAGGAGCCATTTCACCCGTGCAACATCTGCACAGGTGTACCGCCGACGCTCAAGCGCCCGGCCCCTACTAGAGTAGTCTTGGGTAGCTGCGCGAAGAGGCCGTGCAGCTGCGCCGCCTCCTCACACGCGTCGTCCCGCTGCGCCTCGGCGACCTTGGCGCGCCGCTCGGCCTCTGAGGCGATGGAGCCAAAGTGCGCCGCGGCCTCCTTCTCCTGGCTGCGGCACCGCAGCTCCGCCGCAGTCTCGGCCTCGCGCGCCGCCGCCTTGAGCCGCCGCACCTCCGTGCAGAGCCGCCCAGTCTCCTGCCGCTCCGCCTGCAGCGCTGCGTCGAGCTTCGCGTACGCCGCGGCGGAGCGCCGCCGCTCGTCGGCGAGCGCGGCGTCGACGGCGGCCTGCTGGCGGCGCGCCGCCAGCTCGAGCTCGACACGCCGCTCGTCGGCGAGCGCCTCGCTCAGCTGCCGCCGCCGCCGCTCATAGTTGAGGAGCAGCGACACCTGCCGGAGCTGCGACGTGCCGCGCCCACGCGGCGGAGGCGCGCCGCGCACCTCGGCGGCGATCAAGCCGAGGACGTCGCGGCAGCCCTCCAAGAGGTGGACGGCGCTGTCGGCGCCGAGGCGCGGGTGCAAACCCTCGGCAAACGCGCGCAGCTGCGCCGTCACGTCGAGCTCGGCATCGAGCGAGGACGCGCCGCCGCCGCCGCCGCCGCCGCCGCCGCCCGTGTCGGCCGCGTCCGAAAGGGTCTGGAGAGGAACGTGCGCCTGCCGCACGAGTTGGTCGAGTTCGCGGTCGGCCTCCGCCGGGTCCTTCCGGCGAGAAACGGCCGTCGAGCGCCGCTTAAGCGCGCGCTCCACGTCCGCCTTGTACGCGGTCATCCGGCGCTTGTACTTCACGAAGTTCGCCTTGGTCTCCGGCGTGGCCAGCGCCGGGAGCGCCCGCGTCGGCGCGAGCGACTCGTGCCCGGCCATCGCCTCGACCCACCTGGTAAAGATGAGACCCGCATCGCCGGCGCCGCCCCCGCCGCTGGCATATTTGCCGGCCAGGCCGACGAGGGCGTAGGCGTCGATGAGGAGCAGGCCGCCCACGGGCCTCGCCAGGGCCGCGGCGGGCCCTGGCGACCCCTCGAGGGACGCCAGGGTGGACAGGGCCTCTGCCCTAGCAGGTTCTGAAAAGAGAGCGGTCGCCTCGCCGATGCCGCGGAGCTTCTCCTTGGAGGTGTGGAGGTCCTCAGGGGTCGCGACCTGCGCATGGCTCGTCGGGAATGGTCACCAGCGTCGTGTGCGACCTCTCTCCGGAGGCGTGCGACCGAAGGGAGAGCGGTGAGGCGAGGCTGAAGTCACAGCTGAAGCAACTGGATTTCAGTTGCTGACAGTTGTGGGCGATCCCGCGCGAACTGACGGCAGGTAAGCCGGCAGGTGGGGGGCGGGGGTGTGCCGGGTGGATCCCCAAGCGGGCGAGCCGGGCCCATGCATAGTTCGCGCGCGGGGGGCGCGCGAGCATGGGAAAGACGCACCTCCATCGTGCTTGCTACCGGCGCTTTTTTGGCCGTTGGCACCATCGTTGATGACTTGATTGCGCGGGAGTCGAATCCCAAATTCTCTCCGCTCGAGAGGGAATTTAATTGTTTTGGGGGATTCCGACCGACCTATAAGTTTCCCTGGAAATTTCCGGAAACGCAAAGTGCTGGGGACCCTCTCGTTTCCTTTTTGGTTTCCGGAAACATGGATACAGGGGCCAACATGCACGACACCAACGCCTTCCGGTTCCGCGCCCGCCTCGCCTCGCCCGATCCGCGATCGGTGTGCTTGGCGTTCTCTATCTCGCGGGGCGGCGCCGGGCCAACACCCGCGCGCATCCCGCGCTGCCTGCGGTCGTTACTGCGGCCGGTGACACGCGGCTGGCACCGGCACGTCCTTGTGCGGCACGAGCGCCCGAAACACAACCTCTCCGCTCTCTCCGCGCCGCCTTGCCTCCAACCGCACCGCCTCCTCCAGCCCCCGCAGGATCTGCGCGTTCCTCGCGTCCGTGCCGTTGCGCCACAAGCGGTCAAAGTGCGCGTCGAGCGGCTCCAGCTCTCCGCCGCGCGCCTCGAGCGGCCGCTCGCACCCCTCCGCGACGCAGGGCCACACAAACATGATTCTGCCGCGGCCGGGATCGTCCTTGCCGACCGTCGCAACCACAAAGGGCAGGGTGGCGTGCAAGCGGGGGATGAAGCCAACCATGCCAACCTTGACTGTCTCGTCGCCGTCGGCGAGGGCAGCGGAGGCCTGCTCGCTCGGGGCGGCCTCACCTGCATGCCAACGGGACGGGACCGGGGGTGAGGGGCGGCGAGGTGAGGACGGCCGCAAAAATCCCAACGCCCCAAGCGTCGCACCCGTCCTCAGCTCGACCGGCACGGGCTCCGAAGACGGAACCGATTGGCGAAACACCGTCGCGCTCGGCTCCACAATCGTCTCCGCCTGGCGGTGGTGGTTTGCTCTCTCGGCTGGAGTAAAGGGAGGGGCGGCGAAAGGGGCGTGCGTACGCACGCCTGCTGCTTGATGGCCATGATGAGCGCCTCGTACATCATCGTATCGTGACCGTCCTTATACTTGTGCCAGAGCGCCGCGAAGCCGCGCGCAAGCGGCTCGATGTCGGCGCTGCTGAGCCGCTCGGTGTGGCCCTCGTCCCGCCGGGCAGACGGGTGGATGGGCCGCACGATGATCACCTTGGACAGGCCGCCGTCGGTGCCAGCCTGCACCTCGACCACCTCGCGCGGCATCTCGGCGTCGGCGGCCGCGTGGCGCGTGGCGCGCGAGGCGTCGAGCAGCACCACCAGCCCCTTGCGCGTGCTAAAGTTCTTCTTGTTCTTCTTCTTCTTCTTGTCGCGCAGCAGGGGGCCCGAGGAGGAGGGGGCAAGGGGGCGCTTGCCGGGCCGGGGGGCGGGGTCGCGCGCGCCGCCGGCGGCGGACGCCGGCACTTCGCCTCCCTCCTTCCCGCTCGCGTAGCCGCTCGGGCTGCCGCCGCCGTGCTGCGCCTAGGGGAGAGGAGGGAGAGGATGGGCGAGGGCCGAGGCGCGCGGCGCAGAGGCACGAGGCACGCCGCGGCGGGCACCCCACGAGGCGGCGTCGCGAGCCGCGCGAGCGGCCGCAGCCACCCGACCGGTATCCACCGCCCGCGGCCGTTCGCATCGCGCAGCACCTGAACGGGCGTCGTCGCGAGGAAGGGCGAGTAGGCGGTAAAGCTCTGCCTCTCACCGTGCCGGCGGACCGGCGTGCGCGACGTGCCGAGCGCGCGTATGTGCTGCGCGCCAAGCCCCGTCACGTACGACTCGTACGCGACGAGGTAATCGCACCGGCCGGTGCCGTAGAGCTGCTGGTGGATGTCGTGCGCAGCGCCGCCGAGCGAGGGGTACTCCCGGCCGGTGAGGTGCTTGCATGCGGGCGGCGCGGTGAGCACGCGCGAGCGGCCCAGCTGCAGCGCGTCGAACTCGAGCACCTCGAGCGTGGCGAGCGTGCCGTGCTCGGTGCGCAGGGAGGCGAAGAGGCGCTCGAGCCGCATACACACATGTCTGTATAGTCTGTATAGCCGGTTGCGGCACCTTAAAAATCGAACGCAAAAAAATCGTCTCGTGTCTGGGTGCGCTTCTCAGCTCCCCGGCCCTGGATGTGAGGTTACTGACTGCACTCCAAGTGCTCCAAGTGTCGTATAGGGTTGGGTCTCGTCTCGTATCGTCTCGTATCGTCTCGTATCGTCTCGGTTTCTCGATGTCCGACTGGGAGGCGGAGCTGGCGGCAGCCCGCCGCCCCGTGCTTGAGGCGGCCGCCGCGCGGTCTCGGGCACCGCACCCGTGCTGCCACAAAGCACAATGTGCTGCCACAAAGCACCACTAGCGATTTCGCGCGGAGGGCGTAGTGAAGTGCTGGGGCGCTCACTGTGTGTTATTCGGGTGGGGATCCATCAGTGGTAAGCGGCTTTAGTCACAGATCCAAGCTCAGACGTCACACCAACACCACAAACACGCTCACTTCGCCGCTGCTGTAGATGGGCCTCCGGGGGCCCATGCTACGTCGAAGCACAGGGCGTGCCGAAGGGCGTAGCGGCGCGGGAGGCGCCGTAGGAGGAGAGGAGCTTGGCGACCTCGAGGTGACCGTCGAGGCACGCCATGAACAGCGGCGTGGCGCCGTTCTGCTTGGCTTGGTCGATCGCTGCGCCAGCCTCGAGGAGCAGCCGGGCGCACTCGAGGTCCGCCAGGTCAGCCTTGAGCTGGCCAACCGCAAATGCAGCCTCCTTCTCCCTTTCCATAATTTCGGCAATGTTGCGTGTTCTCGCCGCCTCCTCCTCGACAGCGGAGGTCAGCGACGCAAATGAGCCGTCATGCAGCTCTCGTAGTGTCCTTGCGAGGAGCGCGTGGAGGCCTGACCGCTCCACTTGGACCTTGGGGAGGTTCTCAGCGATGTTTGGGTTGCCCTTGAGGTTGCGGCAAAGCTCATTGGTGGACTCCCGAAGCGCGCGCGCGACGGTGCGCACCTCGTCCTGGTTCTCCTTATAGCGCTTGTTCGACATCGCCTTGAGCGCGAGCCGCTGCCCCACCAACTCCTCGTACCGCGACTCGAGCGTCCGCTGCTGCGCAAGGATGCGAGTGATCTCATCGCCGACGGTCTGGGAGAGCTCGTCGCGATGGGCCACAATATCGGGCGTGATGGACGCCAGGAACGAAAGTTTCTCGAGCGCCTCCTCGATGATTGCGCCCACGCGCACGGACTCGACGCTGCAGGGCTGCATTGGATGGCAAAAGACGTTTCGTTTCGAGTTTTCTTGTTTCTTTTTCAACCTACAGTGGGTTGCGGGCATTAAGAAAACGTACCATTAAGAAACCACGCCGAGCGATTTCCGCAAAAATCTAAGAAACCACGGCGCGCCGCAGGCGCGGCCCCGAGAAAAGGCCAGACACGAGTGTGAACGGGAGGCCCAGCTCAAAATTTCTCTTCGCCTGCGGCGCGCGCACTTGTCACTTTGTCCAAGTCTGCGGTGTTCTGAGTGGATGGAGTGAATGGAGGCGTGTGTGCGTCTTCCCGTCATCTAGACAGAGAGCCGACTCGGCGGCAGACTCTGGCATCGCCCTCGCGGACCGCAGCTTACCTCTTACCTAAAAGTCCTTCGGGCCGGCGCTCTGGCTTGAGTGCTGGTGCCTCCGCCTGTGCCACCTTGGGCTCCGCCTCTTCCGGGTGCCTCGTGGCGCGAAACAGCACGTCGGACAGGGCATCCGCCGCCGCCTCCTCGTCATCCCCCGCGGAAGCGTGCCATTCGACCAGCCGGTCTGTGATGGCGAGCGCGTCGCTGCCGACTGGCCGCTCCTCGCAGCAGTTGTTGACCATGTGGCGGACGTCGCCAAAGCAAGGCGACGACTTGTCGAAGCAGCAGAAGAGGTAGTCAAACTCGCTGAACGAGGCAACGCACAGCCACCCTGGGTCAGCGACCGAAGGCTCTCCCTCCGACCGCGCATGCATGTCCTCCGCCCAGCTCGTCCGGCACTCCCAGTCCCCAAAGATCTGCTCGGTTGTCTTGAGCACGTCTGCAGGAGGGAAGATGTTGAAGCCGTAGCAGTTGTAGTGGTCCTTGGAGAAGTGCCACTCTGCGCTCTCCACCCACAGCGCGCCCCACGATGGGGGAATTTTTGGCTCTGCCACCTGCAGCGAGGCTACCCCGCCCGCGGCGCTGCCGCTGAGCCGGAGGCTCTCCACCAGCGACTTCAGATCCGCCTCGGAGGCGCCGGCGCTGCACGACCCGCGTGCCTCCGCCACAGGCCGCAGCGCGCGGACTCGGGCGGCGGCTGAGATGCAACTAGCGGCCGGGCAATCGGGGGCTGATGGAGCATTGCTCCCCTGTGCGACGGCGACGGCAGCTTCGATTCGCTTGACGAGCGCCGACCTCTTTCCACTGGCAGAGACACCGAGCGCCTTGCATTTAGCCTGCAGCTCGCGATAGGTTGGTGGCGCCATGTGGAGCGTTCTGCGTGTCGAGCGAGAGCCGAGCCGAAGGACGCACGCGGCGCACGAGACCCGCTGATTAATTAAATAACGCACGGGCCCTCAGCGAATCTGGCCTGCAGCTCGCCGTTGCCGGGATGGCTTGCGGATTCGAGCCGGCACAATTGGCTGCCGGGGTGCGCCGAGAGAGGTGGGGTGGGCGGTATGCCGTCATCACCGCCCGGTGGGGGTGCATGCTGCTCGGTGCTCGCACGCAGCGCTCTGTCTGGGTGGTGGCGGCGCTCCAAGAGTGGCGCTCTTGGGAAGAGGTTCCTCCCCCCCCCCACCCACCCACCCACCCACCCACCCCCACCCGCCCCCACCCGCCCCCACCCCAACCCCTTGGCAAGGGTTTCCTTTCCGCAATCGGCAATGCCCTCGACTGGTTCTGCTCTGGATTTGGCTAATAGCACTCCAAGTGCTCCTGCTCTCGTCCGTGTAGAGCCGTACGTAGTATCTAAGAGCCCTGGTAGAGCCGGTCACGGCTATCCGCCGTACATCTGACTACTCCATCTAGCCTGGGGGGGGTCGGAGGAGGGGGGACAGAAGGGGTAAGATATGGGTGAGGCCAGCTAGTCGGACACCCTCCCGTGCGTCGTCGGAATACTCCTCGGAGCGGTCGGCGTCCTTGTCGTCGTCCTCGCCCGACGCGGAGGTCGGGCGAGAGGTCTGCATCGCCTCGCCGGCCGTGAACCTCAACCCTCAAGGACCTGAACACGGCATCGGCCGGCGCCGAGGCGCCGGCGGCCGTCATCAGGTGCATCACTATGCGGTCGCGGTATGCCGCATCAATCTCTCCGCCGTGCTCGGCCAGCTCGTTCGCGAGCCAGTCCGAGGCGACGGTCGTCGCCACTGGCGACTGGGTCCCCCGCAAAATTGAGCAGAAATATCAGTCCACAGTCGCTTCTGCACCCCGTGCAAATTCGACCATTTTTGAACAATTTCTGCCACGGTACCAAAACGGACCTTAATACGTACTGTAGGTAGGAGCAGAGAGGAGCGGCAAGTGGCAGGAGAGGCCGCGCACATTAGAGGTGCTAAGAGACCAGAGAGAAGTGCGGGAGAGGTACTGTTTGGGGGGCGAGCCTCTTTTCCCCACGCCTGAGCGACGTGGTCGCGCGGTCGCCCCTCCTCTCCCACTGAAGGCTAGGAGGGCTAGTCGAGAACTACGCGCTGCTGCCATACGACGTCGTCAGCGCGGTCTGCAGGCTGCCCGTGTCCTGCGAAGCCTGAAGGTCGTCGCCCGCGTAGCACTTCCCGTTCACCATGTCGACGAGGATGGGATACGTGCCCGGCTTCTGGTCGGACATTTCCCAGATCGCCTTTCGAACCTCCTTCTTCTCAAGTTCTGTCGGGCAAAGCAGACGCACACGCGCCAGTTACGAGCGCGGCGAGGGCTTGCGTTAGGCGCGGGCCAGCGCACCCATGCCGTCGATCTTCACGAACGGGACATTGTAGCTCTCCAGCTGCGTCTCGAGCTTTCTCTGCGCCACGATGACGAGCTGCGAGCTGGACTGGCTGCTGTGGAGGTACAGCAGCTGTGGCGGTGAGGCGGAGCGCGGGGTGAGGAGCCGGCGGCGCAGGCAACCGCTCGCGCGGGCGGGGCGACCAGTGATGGCGAGCGCGCGCGCCTTGCCGGCGTAATCGTCGTGCTCGAGGACGCCCATACGACCGAAGGAGGTGGGCCGAGCGAGCGGGTTGGGTTGTCGAGACGCCGGGGCCAGGGCAAGTGTCAAGAACAAGAAAACACCGCCACGTGGGGTGCTGGGGGCGGTGCGGTGTGTGCAATCGTGTGTTACGGCGCGACGCGAGATGAGAGCTGCCCCCGCGCGTGTCCTCTCGCCTCGCCCCACAACCACCACTGCAGCGCTCCGACCGTGCCTACTGCGGCCCCCGCGACCCCCAAAACAAGCCCGCGCCGTGCTCATCCCATTTTATGCTGCTGACGCGCGCCCGCCGCCGCCGCCTGCGCCCTCGCAGATCCAAAACAACCTCTCGGACGCGCTCGAACTATCGAACTATCGACTATAGTCGGAGCGGCCGCGCGCGATGGTCATCGCGCGACCAACTGTCCCGCCTCCGCCCGCGGGCTACGTCAAGCAGAAGCGGGAGGAGTGTCGCCTGGAGGCGGCGCCCAAGCAGGCGGAGATGACGCGCCAGGAAGAGTACTCGTACTACCCGCCCGATAGCTGCCCTTCTCTGTGTCGCCCGTGCGATGCGGCGTGCTGCTGCTGCATGAACTGCCTCTTCGAAGCGCCGGTCGGCATTGCCTGCGCCGCTGGCTGCAGCCCGGGTGGACTTTTCTGCTGCACGCCGGTGTCGCTGATTTGCGACGCCGTAATCAAGTGCGCGTGCTGTTGCGGCGATCCAAACGAGCGGCTCTGGGACTTCTTCACCCGAGTGATGCCGCCCTCCCTCGTCCACCACGGCCCTGCACGTTACTTGCCTTACTTTACCATGTACACCGGCGTGCTCGCCGCTGGCCGTTGCTGGTACCCGCTGACTGCGAACCCCAGCTGGCCCGCTGTCACGCCGTGGGTCTACACGTATAACAAGCTGGCGCCGTGCTAGGTCGTGATGACGACGTCGCGGTCGAGCAGCGTCGCTCCGATGTGCCTCGTCTTTGGCCGTAGGCGACGGAGGAGTGGTTCGACTGGACTCGCGGCGCGCGCATGCCAGAGCGGGCAGCGGATGGCGGGCGGCTCCCACCGCCCGAGAAGGTCAAGGCGCTGTTTGATCGAGGCGACCCCGAGAGTGAGAACGCCGCGCCGTGGGCGCGGCGCTTGGAGGAGGCTGGCGTGACGGGCCCCGGCGTCCCGCCCACGGGAGACTCTCCGCCGCTGTGGCCGGCCGGGCCGGCCCCGCAGAACCCGCGCACGAATGTGCTCGCCATGTGGGCGGTCAATTTCTTCATCGCCTCTTGGTTCCAGTCCGGCGTGCTGACCGACGGCGAGCACTACACCCGCAACTTCTCGGGCGACTTCGACATGGGGTACGTGTACGGGCAAACCAAGGAGCAGCAGGCCTTTCTGATGAACAAGGAGGACGGCACCGTCCGCGTCAACTCCTCGGGCAGGCCGCTGCGATACATGGACGCCGACAATGGCCCCTTCTCCCCGGAGTCTCGCGAGACGCTCAAGGCATGCCTCACCCCTCACACACGCCACACCCTCGCCCGTGTTCGCTCGTCCACCTCCTCGCCCCTCTCATACCCCTCTCACGCCCCTCTCACGCCCGCCGTTGAAGTTCGGCAAGCTCGAAGCCAACGTCTGGGCCTCGGGCAGCAACCACACGAACGTGCACGTGGGGATGTACTTCATGCTCGCTTGCGCCCAGTCGGTACACAACGTGCTGGCGGTCGAGATTCGCAAGATGCACCCCGAGTTTGACGGGCCGCGGATCTTCGAGAGCACGAAGCAGCTCGTCACCTTCCTCTTCTTTCAGGTGGTCCGTCGCGAGTACGTCGGCTTCCTCAACGGCGGCACTGTGGGCGAGGTCAACGCTCAGGTCGCGGCCCTCAACGTTCCGCTCAACCGCTACTCGCCGATGGTCGCCGGCCTGAACGTGGCCAAGCATCTGAAAGGCGACTTGTTCACGGGCGCCTCGGCGGGTCTCGAGTACGAAACGTCGTACATGTGGCACGCCATGCCGCCAGAGGAGCTTGGCCCGCTCGGGTCGTATTCCGAGAAGTGGATCGCCAAGCCCGGCAACTGGACCGACGCCGCGACGGGCCCGACGCTGCGTGAGCTTTTGCACGCGGCGCAAGTCGCGCCATCCTCGCTCCAGACCCTCGGCAACACCCCCTCCTACCTCCTCAACTTTGAGATGAAGGTTGTCGAGCGCAGCCGCGGGCAGCGCGTGGGGTCGTTCAACCAGGTGCGCGCAGCAATCCACCTCCCTCCCATCACCAGCTTCGACCAGTTTGCCGCACCGTGGGACGCGAAGCTCGCCGCCGTCTACGAGCACCCGGACGACATCGACCTCTACGTGGGCTACAATGCTCCGGTGAAGGGCGAGTACGACCCGGAGCGCTCGTTCATGACGCAGAGCATGAAGCGTATCGTGTCGACGCTTGTCTTCACCATCGCCATGCAGGAGCAGGACTGCCTCCGGATGGTGCCGAGGGACGTCTGGGCGCGCTTCAAGGACATGGACCTGTACTCCATCTGCGCGACTGCGATTGCAGCCGACCCCGCAAGCATCGCGCAGCCGGGGCCAAACCAGCCGCTTCCGCCCGCCTCGTACTCGGACCAGGGCGTGACCATGTTTTACCCCGTGCATGCTTGAGAAGGATTCGATTGCGTCAACAGCAGCTTGCTCTGCTGAGACGTCTTCCGGGCTGGGTCCGTTGGTTTGCCACGCACCCACCCCTTAGTTTGCGCGCCCAAGTGCGCGCCCTGGCCGCTGTCCACCTCGCGGTCGTCCCACTCTCGTCGTTCTCTCTCCTATCGCTTCATCCTCAGCCAGGAGGAGGGCCCTGGGGGGGTGCTACTCGCGCTCGTTTCGGTCTCGCTTCATGAATAAGGTAAGGTAAGGTAAACTTCTCCACACACACGAGGTGGTGGGGCAAGGGGGGGCAACCCTCGCGTCTCCACGTCTAACGACAGGAGCCCCACGGCATTCAAAGAATATGTCATCATGATTCATGTGCTAGCTCGTACGTCTCTCTCTCTCTCTCTAGGATAGGTACGTACTTTTAGCTTACTGGGAGAAAAGGGAGAGGGGATTGTGTTCTCTAGCTGTATAATCGGAAGACACAAGACGGGCGGGGGGGGGGGGAGGGGTCAGATGATGGCCTCCGCCTGCAGTGCAGCACGCAGATCTGCGGGCAGGTCGTCCAGCCCGCCTCCCGACAAAGCGCCGGCGGCGTGGAGGCCGCACTTCAGCACCTGCATGCGCGCCGAGCGCGCCTCCGCCTCGAGATCTGGCTTTTCAATCTGGAAATCGGCACCAAAGCGGATTGGTGGCATCTGAGGCGTGAACTGCATTCCCGGCGGTGTGATCTTCTCGAGGTACGACTTGGCCGACGGCACATCAGCAGGTTGCTTGTAGTCGACACGCATGTTGGCAGGCTTGACCCTGACCGCCTTACGCTCCATTTGCACAGCCCAGCGAGCCTTCTGGTAGGAATAGTCGAGAACCACGCCGTTCGCGCCGTTGAGGTCCGAACGACTCTCAAGCCCCACAATTCGCACATGCGCGCCCGGGCGAATCACTCCGGTCTCCTCGCGGTCGCGACAGTGCGGCGGCGTGGCCGTGCCGTACGCGAACATCTGCTGCATCGCGTCGGTCATTCCCGCGAATTCTCTCCCGCGTCGCGCCCTTTGTACAGGGTAGTCTAACCTCCAAAATGATTTCTCCCGTGGCCCCGGCGGGCCCCGCCGGAGGTCCGGCGCGGCGCTCCAAATCCGCACTTCGCGAGCTTCGTGGCTCGGGTTACACCAATCCTCGCTACCCAACGCGGCCAAAGGATATCCACCTCGAGAACCTCGAGAGAAGGCTGTGAACAAACTGTCGCCCGCGCGCACCTGTCAGGAGACGGAACACGGAGGAGCTGTATAGGTCACTAGAGACCCACACCATCGCTACATCACCACAACCACCAAGTCGGATACAAGTCGATGACAATGTGCGCGGCAGGAGAAACCCAACAGCATGACAATGTGCGCGGCAGGACAAACCAAACATGAGACACGGTTACACAAGGACGGTCAGGCTACGGTCAGGAAGTAGGTTTGAGTTCACACTCTCCAACACTCCCCCATTGTCTCCGCAGTCTTCATGAATGAGGATGCGGCAGACAACAACAGCAGAGTGTGAATGTGTCTGAGCGTAGGTATGCCGGTTACCCGCCGGCGTCTCGCGGGGCTGGCTAAGCGTCCAACCTTGCGTCTTCGCGAAGGATGGTCTTGCTTGTTGGCAAGACTTGCGCGCTAAGATGATCCAGTGAAGGGGTCAAAGCGCGGCCGAGTGGGCGGAGAGAGAGAAAGGGGAGATAATGAACAGGAGCTCGTTGTGGAGCTCGGTCATGGCGCGCCGCGAGCTGCAATCCGGGCTGAGCGTCGCGGGGCGGCGGCTTGAGCGGGCGCGGCGGGAGCGGCGGGCGCGGGAGCGGCAGCGGGGGCGCCCCGTTGCTGCGCGGCGACTGGGCCGTTGGGAGGCCTCGCCGCGTTGACGTTGATGAGCGCATCAGACGAGGAAGAGACAGCAATGAGGTAGAGTGGCATTGCCACGTCGAACAGATGCCCAACACTCCCCCACGACGTGGTAATCGCCACACAAGGCAGAGAGGGCGTGTCGATCGTCGCGTGTTCATCGCGTACAGCTCCGGTCGTGTCGAGCGGCGACGTCGGTAGTAGCGGCGGCGAAAGGCAGGGTCCACATTCGGTGCGAGATCTTTGCGGTAACTGCCGTTGCAGCAGCCCGAGAGCTGGTAGCGGAGGCAGCAGCTGCGATGGTGGTCCGTAGGCGAGGAGAACGGACCGGTAAGGAGAAGCAAGAGGGGATACTCGTGTCCACACAGCCGCAGTGCTGGCGGAGATGCGCTCTGTCGCAGAAGATCCGCAAGCACCCAAGTTGATGTTGCGGTTGTACTCATTCTGCTCAGCCTCCGAGCCAAGCAGTTGGCGGCCGCTGTGCCACCGTGCGCCGAGCCTCTGTGCCCAGCCAATCACCACGGCTCGCGCAGGTGCCCATGGTGCCAGCCAACGTATCGAGCGTAAGCCGGAAATGCTGTGCGGCAACACATCTCGCTTGTGTGTCGCACCAGCTCTCATGTCGGCCTCAGTGCCGCACTGCTCACTCCGTGCACTCACCGGTCGGTACCATGTCAGGAGACGGAACACGGAGGAGCTGTATAGGTCACTAGAGACCCACACCATCGCTACATCACCACAACCACCAAGTCGGATACAAGTCGATGACAATGTGCGCGGCAGGAGAAACCCAACAGCATGACAATGTGCGTATATGTGAAATGAACTCGGGGGCACGGGACGCGGCACAAACGGGGCACAAACGCCAGGCTACAAAGACGGGGAGGCACGTAGTGACGCAGGGGAGTCTAGGCGACGGCGGCGTCCTCCGACGCCGCGGCGAGCCTGAGCTCGGTCGCAATCTCTTCCGCCGCCGCGAGCTGCAGCGCGACTGACATGCGCTGGGCCTGCAGCGAAAGCCACGACCGCGTCGACCAGCTCGCCTCGTCCTCGTGCTGCCGCTTCGAGAGCTTGTTGCGCACCTTGTCCTTCATCTGGTAGAACAGCCGTTTGACCGCGTTGCACCACCCGCCGAAGGTTTCAAACAGGTACATCTGCACGTCGGTGTCCGAGCGCGAGAGGGCGTGCGCGTAGTCCGCCTTCTTGTACGCCACATAGCCGCCGCCGTCGCTCGCCGCGGCGCGCGTAGCCTCGGCCGCGGCGGCCGCCACGGCTGCGTCCTCCGCCTCGGCCGCGGCGGCTACCGCCACGGCTGCGGCGGCGCGGTCCTCGCCCGCCTTGGCGTCGCGAGCGGCGAGCACCGCCCGCGCGTCGTGGAGAGAAGACAGGAGGCGCCCTGCGTCGGCCGAGCGCAGCAGTTCGAGCAAGCCGTTCGCGTCGCAGCCCTCGAGGAACAGGGCGGTGAGCTCGGCCGTGCGCTGCTCGCCTAGGTGCGCGATGGCGCCGCAGAGAGACGCGCCGATCGCCCGGCTGCGCTCCTCGGCGCTCAGCGTGCTGAGTTGCGCGTCGGGAGGCAGCTCTGCCATGGCCGCCGACGCCGCCGCCAGCCGCGCGTCCTCCGCCTCGGTCCGCGAGGCCGGCAGGCCGCCACCGGGGAAGAAGAAGGCGAACCTCGCCGCCGCCCGACCGTAGCCGGCGTCGATCACGAGGCGGAGCAGCTCGAACGGCGAGAAGATGCCGTCGAGCAGCAGGTCGCCGTTGACGTCGCGCAGCGAGGAGGCGATCTCCTCCGCCGTCGCAGGCGCCCGCCTCCGGCCGTCGTAAAGGACAGTCGGCGGGAGGCGGGAGACGGCGACGACGAGGTGCTGCCGGAGGACGTCGCCGGGCGGCTTGCAGGCGCAAGCGAGCGTCTGCTCGAGGACGGCGCGAGAGGTCACGGCCTCCTGCGGCGTCAGCAGCTCCTTCGCCGCGGCGAGGGCGGCGGCAAGCTCGTCGCCCACCTCGAGGCAGCCGCGGAGGCTCCGCTCGCCGTCGCCGGCGAGCTCTGGCGCCTCCGGCAGCGGCGCAACGGGGCTACCAGCGTGCGGCCGCTTGCCGCGTCGCGGCGCCTCCAGCACGTCGAAATGGAAGCCGCAGCCCGATGCGGAGGTCCGGTTGAGCAGCGTGCCCAAGTACTCGCCGGAGTGGACGCCGATCGGGTAGACGTACTTGGCCTGGCCCTTGTCCAGCTGGCTCTGGACGTGGGCGGGCCCGTACTTGCCCTCGCGGTACTCCACGACGCCGATCCTGTAGCCGAGCGTCTCGCAGAGCACCGTGAGCGATAACCCGCCGCCCCAGCCGCCGCGGCCGATCGCCTGCGCCTCCTGCTCGAGGATCCGGCCGACGCCGTCCTCGCCCGACGCGGGCAGCGCCTCCACGGTAGCGAGGAGCAGCCTGCACGAGGCGGAGCGCAGCGGCGCGGCGTCGAGCTCAATCTTGAGCCGTGCCCGCACGCGGTCCGCCCAGCCGGCCTCGGAGAGGATGTGCACGATGGAGTGGAAGAGGCAGTGCCCGTCCTTCCGCATCTCTCGCAGCACGAGGCCGTTCTCGGCGAGCGCGCTGAAGAAGCCCGCCTCTGGCCCGCCGTCGCGCCCGCCGCGCCCAGCGTCCCCGCCGCCGCCCTTGCCGCTCCCGGTGCGCGAGCGTGAGGCAGCGAGCCGCCGAGCTGAGGCAGCGAGCCGCCGAGCTGAGGCAGCGAGCACGGCAGCGAGCAGAACGGCTGCGGGCAGCAGCAGCAGCAGCCGGGCTCGGGTGCCGCGCAGCAGTACAGCGGCGCCGGCAGCAGAGGCAGCAGCTCAGCAGGCGCTGCATCTGGCAGTTGCTCAGCGCTTTTGCACGCGGCTGCTCTCCGCGGAGTAGCCGCAGAGCGAGCTGCCGCCGACGACGGAGCTAGAGCCTCCGTCGGCGGCGTCAGCCTGCTCGGTGGCGCCGCAGCCTCTCGCGGGCGCGGCGCCGGGCGGGCAAGCATTCCGATGCTGCCCGCCATGGAAAACGCGCGGCAAAAAAAAGGAACATGACAATGTGCGCGGCAGGACAAACCAAACATGAGACACGGTTACACAAGGACGGTCAGGCTACGGTCAGGAAGTAGGTTTGAGTTCACACTCTCCAACAGCACCGTTCTTCTCCCGGTCTCGCCGGTCTCTCGTCGCGCCCAAAGCCTACACTCTCGAACGAGGGCCTCGGTGCTCTGCCATGGCCGCCGCCTCCTCCGACCCGCTCTTCCTCCCCGACCTGCCCCGCGTGAAGCAGCAGACGGAGCTCAACAACCTGCGCGCGCTCTTCCTGCAGCTGATGCGGCAGGGCGACGCGCAGCCAGACAGCTTCCCCGGCTCGCAGCCCGTCTCGTTCGAGCGGCGGCACATGAACGCGGACCAGCAGGTCTCGCTGCAGCGGATGGGCTTCTACGCCTCCGAGAAGACGGACGGCATGCGGTACATGCTCCTCGTCCTCGGCGAGCGGGGCGCCTACGCCGTCGACCGCCGGTTCGAGTTCATCAAGCTGCCGGCGATGCACTTCCCCGCGCGCGGCGGCGGCGCCCCGCTCGACGAGACGCTGCTCGACGGCGAGCTAGTGCTCGACGCCGTCCGGCGCGGCACCGAGGAGGGCACCATCGAGACGCGGCGCTCCCTCCGCTACCTGGCGTATGACGCGTGCGCCGTCAGCGGGACGTGGCTGATGGACAAGCCGCTGCCGCTGCGGCTGCTCGCGCTGCAGCGGGAGGTGCTCGGACCGCGCTACGAGGCGGGCGCCACCGGGCGCGACCTGTCTTCCGAGCCGTTTGCCGTCGACCAGAAGGACTTCTTCTCGATACGCCACCTGCAGCACATCTTCCAGCAGGCGCGAGATGAGCCGAGACGAGCCGAGCTGAGCCGAGACGAGCCGAGATGAGCCCAGCTTTAGAGTGATACGCCACCTGCAGCACATCTTCAAGCCAATGTGGACAATAGACATCGGGCAGTGAGGACAATAGACATCGGGCAGTGCGGACAATAGACATCGGGTGGAAGAATGCACGCACAGCACACAGCGGCGACAGCCTAGCACACCCCACGCCGGGCCACACACGGCAGCACTCTTCCAGCAGGTGAAGCCGGGGGGCAGCGGCGGGGAGCATCTCTACGCGTACCAGGACGAGCTGCGCAAGGTCGAGCACGGCAACGACGGCGTCATCTTCACACCGATCCTGGAGCCGTATGTCTGCGGCACCCGCCCGTCCCTCCTCAGGGACTGCGCCCACACTGGATTCGATACCCTGGAGGTATGGTACGCGTAGGCACCTGCCCCTCCCTCCTCAAGTGGAAGCCGGCCACCACGAACTCGGATGCGCCTCTCCGCATCAAAACGAAAAGACGGCGGACCGGCATGTGTTTCCGTGAGTAGGCCAACATGAACTCGATCGACTTCCAGCTCCGCACCGAGTGGAGGACCGAGTCGGAGACGGGGCGCAAGACGCCCCGCTTCTCCATCCGGTATGCGGAGCGCGGCTCGCTCAGCGCGCGGCGCTACGACTGGCTCACCCTGGACGGCGACCAGCACAAGCGGTTTGTCGCCGACTCGAAGGCGGACAGGCGCGTGATCGAGTGCGTGTGGGACCCGGAGCACGAGACGATCACGTACCCCGAGGGCGACACGTGGGACTTCCCGGCCGCGCGCAAGGGCGGCTGGAAGTACGAGCGGATGCGCGAGGACAAGGAGCTCCCAAACGACATCCGCACCGTCCGCGCGGTCGAGCAGTCGGCGCAGGACGGCGTTGAGATGGAGGAGCTGCTCCGCGCGATGGGGTGAGTGCCGGACGAGGGGGGGGGGGGGTGGGGGGAGTTGTGCGCGTAGAAAAAAAAACGTAAATGCCACACGTACTGGCGGTAGTCTACTGCGGTAGAGCGGTACTGGGGGGATTAAGTAGTACGACTGGGTTACGCGCCCTCGGCCGGCTGCCGGCTGCGTGCTGGGAGGCGCCAGAGAGATAGACTCCGTATGACCCCGCTTTGCGCGCGGCGTGCGGGAGCGAGAGAGAAGACGGTCGGCAACGTGGGGCCACGTTTGCAGCTCTCGTGGCTCACAATAATTGCGCCTCAACAGGACGACGCACGGCTGGGCCATTAGCCCGGCCGAACGCTGGGTGCCGGTCGTGGCGTTTGGCGTCCGCTCGCAGCCAGTGCGGCTCCTCGTGCAGCCACCGCCGCCCCTCGTCCCCAAGCAAGCAAAGCCCTCTGTGACGGCGCGCCCGCGCGATCGGAAGCCGCATCCTTCACAGTCGCGTAGTGCGCAACTCTATGGTCGACGCAGCAATAGACGTTCCCGTCGAAGAAATAGGCGGCCTGCGAAATGGCTGTGCCGCACTTGCTGCAGTGCATGGCGCGGCGAGGTGGGAGAGGCGGCTGTGGCAGAGCTCGGTGCTCGTCGGCAAAGCTGACACGTGGTATTCTAGATCGACGAAATCCCATACCCCTAGGGCAAAACCCTCGCTCACACAAAAACACAACCACGGGCCCAAGACGCACAAGCTCAGACAGTCGAGAAAGGGATCGACAGCAACGACAGCTCACAGTGCGTGTGTGTGTTTCTTTCTTGTTTGTCGTAAAATTCTTTCTTTTGTTTGTGTGTGTGTGTGTGTATCAAGAATACTCACTCACTCACTCACTCACTCACCTCGCTCACACCCTCACACTCAAACAAAACAAACGACGTGTGAGTGTTAGAGTTGTTGTATGTACTTTTAGCTTACTGGGAGAAAAGAGAGAGGGGGTTGTGTTCTCTAGGCCCCTAAGGGCCCTACGCGCGGCGTGAGAGCTCGGAAGCGAGCTTTGCACGGCGATCGAGGATGGCACGGTTCACCCCCTTCACCGAAGCGATGGAGATGCGTTCCGCGTGGTGTGACACAAATGAGAGGCGGGAGTGGGGAGGGTACGCGGTGCGGTCAACGCCCGAGCGTTGAGCCTTGCGCGCAAGGCGGTTGATCTTTGCAACTGCTGGCGGCGAGAAGCCGCCGCCGTGTGGCACAGCTCGTGTTACAAAACCTTGATTTTGACCATTTGCGCAAAAAGGTACATCTCGGTGCCTACCAGAGGCAGCTGCGACCCCGCTGAATGGATGGGATCTCTATGGATGTGGGCGAGGGACTGCTCCTTATAGTAGGCGGAATTATACTGAGTTCGATGTCCATTGGAGGGAATTTTGGGGTAA